ATGTCGACACAAACCTATAAAATAACGTTTAGAGGGTTAGGGTGGTTGGCTATAGTATGTGAGTCAAATCATATGTTTTTCACACCGATTGGTCGTCTATGTAATAAGTATGCTTGGCAGCAAAATCTCCCTTTACACGTAGACTTGATATGCCATGTCTTGGAATATAAAATTGTTTTATTTTACGTTTTAATATTTCTCGTATTACAGGAGATAAATTTATATCTTATATATACATTAAATATGAAAATGTGTGGGGTTCATCTGGACCCATATGAGTAGAAGAGAAAGTAAGAGAAAATATCATGTGAGTAGAAGAGAAATTAAGAAAAAATATGAGTCTCACATATTTTTATGTATATGTAAGAAATAAATTTATCTCTTATAATATAATAACAATAAACTAAATTTAGCTCCTATATATACATTAAATATGAAAGTATGTGGAGTCCATCTAGACTCATCTAAATAGAAGAGAAAGTAAGAGAAAATATGAGTCTCACATATTTTTATATATGTGTAGGAGATAAATTTATCTTTCTTTTTTTCCTGAAAACAGAGATAAATTTATCTCTTATAATATAATAACAATAAACTCTTTATTTCAAGAGAAAGTTTAGTTAAAAAAATAAAACTTAAACTTACATTATTTTATAAAAAGAGTCTCTTATTTGAGCCTAATCACAAATAAATTTGAGCCTCTTATTTGAATTAGCCATATTAGAGAAGAATGAAGAGAGAAACCCTAGCCGAGTTTCTAACTCCACCATTGAACCCAAATTTTCTTCTTCTCTTCAATGACAGGAAAACCTAGATTTCAAATTTTTTGATAGGAGATATGGTGATCTTGGCATTACTACTTACGACATGATTGCTACATGTAACATGACACGGGGAAAATTCATCCACATAAGCACTCTATTATCCACTCTGAAAATTGCGTAAGGACATTTTAGGCCGGAGAGAAATTTTGGTGGTTCCATCACCGTTAACTTCAAGGGTGTTCATCAATCGATTCAAATCGCGGTAACCGAATAGAAAAATCGATAACCGAATAAACTGAAAATCAAAAATTCGAAAACAAAAAAAAAACGCAAATTTTAATTGGAATGGATCGGTTTTTGGATGAGTTGATGAAAACCGATCCAATATATAAATTTCTCTCTACTTATTTAGGTCTTTTCCTAATCATAGCCTAAAAATTTCTAAACTCAAGACCCATTAACCCATCAACTAAATCCAAGAAAAAATTTAGTCATATCTCATCAACAAAATTTTATCTTTGTAGAGCTTCATATCTCATTGCCCAAACAAAAAAAACTATATTTAGTTTACTAATGCTTTTGTATTTTAATTTTTTTTTACAAAGTCAATATATACAAAAGTTGTTACTTGCACAATAATCGTGAAATAAATTTTAGGATTCTCAAAAAATCGAAAACCGATCCAATCCAAACCGAAAAAAATTGGATTGGATCGGATCGGATATGAAAAAAATCCTAACCGAATGGATGATTATATAATCAAACTGAAGGGATTGAATCGGATGATTTTTGCTTCCAAAATCGATCCAATCCAGACCGCAAACACCCCTAATTAACTCAATGGTTCAAACTAATTAAAATCAGACAATTGTTGGAGGAAAGAGGATAAATGAAAAACAAATTTTTGACAAAGTATCACACCTTAAATGGAAGGATTACATATGGGGACTGGAGCACTTAAATTTTTTCCTTTAGGCTGATGTGTGTAACTGTGGGAACTGGGAAGTTACCTGCAAAGAAAAATTACAAAGAGTAATTTACGAAAATGTAAATTATAAGACAAAAAATTATTATTGTTAAACTTGGACTAGACATCGCTACTTGGTCATGATATCGAGTGAACAAGTCACTCAGTCAACTAGTAAATTATTGGTTGAATTGGTTAAACTAAATTTATATAAGGTTATATATAACATATTTATCCCAAATTAGCTGAGATCACATTCAAATAAAAAGTACAAAAAGATTGAGAAAAAAATAAAGAGAAATAATACTCTTATCTGATAGGAAAATGAAACTCTCTCCTATACTCACATCCATAATAGAATTAATTTGATTTTTCTTTTTTTTTTCCTCTCTCCTAATGGGTCCCACCTTTTGATTAAGTGTGTAGGAATAATTTTCTATCTTATGTGGCTTGAGATAAATATTGCTCAAAAATAAATTAGAGCTTTTTTTTGCACAAGTCCCTTATTTTTTTATGTTGCTGCACAGATTTTTTTTTTTGCAGCAATCAAATATAACTATGTATTTCTGAAAATACATGACTAAAATATTAGAGCTTTTTTTTTCTCTTTCTCCAAAAGTTGTCTTCTGATGTGAAGAAAAAAATATCCGATTATAACTATGTATTCTTGCGAATATATAGTTATAACCGGAATACATAGTTATAACTATGTATTCCGATTATAACAGTTTTTTGCATCAATATAAGAAGTACATTTTCATACAAGGCTTATCGTTTTTCAAGTCGCTTGAGATAACTTTATCTCCGGCCACTAAATCATAACCGTACAAAGATGGATCAATGGTGATAAAGGAAGAGAGAGAAAAAGAGAATCATAACAATTTAAAGGTGAATAAATTAATATAAGGAAATAAATAAATAAAACGACATGATTTTGGGATAACCGGAAATAAATATATCTCAAGTAACTTGAGAAAAAATCTAATGAAAAAAAATATTTATCATTTTAAATGATATAACTTTATGTCATTTTAAATAAAATAACGTCATTCGGGTGTATATTCGGTGATCTTTTACATTCTCTCTCATCCCTAAAATTATGAAGAGAGAGAAGATGGAGAAGGTAAAAAAAATCATCAACTATGCATTAAAATGACGTCGTTTCATCTAAAATGATACAAATTTTTTTATTTAAAATGATACAAAATTATGTCATTTAAAATTACAAACATTTTCCCCATAATATAATATATATATATATATATATATATATAGGGGTCATCTGATGTCCAGTCACTGCATTATAACTATGTATTTCACGAAATATATAATTATAATTTTAAAGTTGTATTTTTATTTTATTTTTCACACCAGCAAACAAGTTTATGAAGAGAGATAACATATAACAAGAGAAAAAATAACAACTTTGACATTATATATATATATATATATATATATATATATATATCGAAAATACTATTCTCCATCCGCAGGAATGTAAACAGTAATTCCTGCAGAGAGATTGATTTTTGAATTTTTTGTTTTTTATTTTCTTTAATAATAAATGATGGGACCCGCATACGTTTGTATCTGCTGGAAAATAGTGTTATCAATTGCAACATAAGAAAATTTATCATATATATATATATATATATATATATATATATATATATATATATATGAGGTAGGATCCTTTGACACCGGTGTCAAAATTCAATTTTGACACCTCATCTGAGAGCCGTTAGATCAAAAAAGATCAACGACTCTGATTTGCAAGCATGTGACACTATTGATCTTTTTTGATCTAACGGCTCTCAGATGAGGTGTCAAAAATAAATTTTGACACCGGTGTCAAAAGATCCTACCTCTATATATATATATATATATATATATATATATATATACACTAAGCATTCGCCTTGTGGTAAATGTAATTCAATCATTTGCTGTTCGCCGGTTTGTACAGATTCAAATGCATGATCAATCAATTAAGTGGTCCGGACAGTTGGGATCCAGTTCCAATAATATTTACAAAAACTACATTTAAGCTTTAAATCTTAAGATATCATAAATAAAATTTATGAGTTCGTTTTTTTTCAGTAAAGTATTTTGGAACGAAAATTAAAGTATTTTTATAATTATAATTTATTTCAGGATTATAATAGTCTTTTTTATTATAATTTTTTAATCTTTCAATCTAAACTAACATTATTTTAAAAATAAATATCAATAACTTATCTATATTTATTGTAAAAATATAAAAGGCAAAATTCTATATCCAACCTAAATGTTGAAAGTATTACCCTCATAGTGCATAAGTACTTTTCCAGTAAATGAGGTCTACATAATTTTTATTTAATACTAGCTTTTTGATGTGCTTTATGTGTACCTTAATTCACATATCTTTATTTAATTAAAAAAGTAATTATGATCTTTACCAAAAAAAATAAAAAATAATTATGATGAGTCTGTATAACTATCGGGTTTTACCCAAAAAACTAAAACCAGAGTAAGTAGTTGAAGAGTATTCGAATGTTGCTACAACAGGACAGCAAAGGGTGTTTTACAATTTATCATTTTTTAATATTTATGTTAATTAAAGAATAATTATACGTAGGGAAAAGTAAAATTGAGATCAAATGACAAAAATTCCTTCATAATAATATAAATAGATAAAAATTAGAGTACTTTAGAAAAGCAGAAAATTATTTTCTATTTAATTGGTATAATTTAATTGACCTTGGAAATTAGAAAAAATCTCCATAGCTGAACCATAAAACATAGTTAACAACAAAACGTAGTTTCGCTTTTGCTAAGCTCCGAAGACACTGCTATTTTTAAATTAACATGTGCATGGCATGTAAGACATAATAATAGTCCAAATTTAAAGTGGTCCTGGCTACTTTGGAACAATTGACCTTACACGAAAACTCTAACCAACTGTGCTACAAGAACATAAAACAAGACGAAATTATGTAGCTTTGCACTTCTTAGACTATCAATGCAAATAACCAAGACTACCACATTGTTGCATAAAGGTACTAAATAAGAATAAAGTGCTTGTGATGGAGAAAGACACTAGCTAGTATGCAACAATTACATATGTAGGATCTACACATGAGCTTTTACTACATTAACATCACTCACTGACTCACATAAGTTATAGCATTTTAATTTTTAACCATTACAAGTTCACAGCTAATTTATAAGTACATAGAGAGCTGAATAGCATATATGTCAAAAAGAAAAAAGAAAAAAGAAAAAAGACACTAAGCTGGCCAATATTTCATAGTAGTATCTTCTTCACCTTTGAAGCAACATTGGGCTAGTGGAAGTTGTGGTAAAGTGTGCAGAGAATCTACTGAAACTGAAGGGTTGTGCTGAAGGGAAATGGTGTGTTCATTAGGAAAATGCTGCTCCACAGGAAGGTACATGGGTGAGTATTCATCATCTACAAAGTTCATCATGGTTTGGTGAAGCCAAATCTGTGTCTTGAGGAACTTCACATAGTGAATGGCTTCCTCCAACATAGAAACTGTGTCCATCTTACTCCCACCAGGGACCATGCTCTGAAGGATCTTGAACCTGTCACTGATTCTATGCCTTCTTTCTCTGGCTGCTACACTTTGTGGATCAGTGGAAAGCTTCACTCCCTTGCTTTTCTTCACACCCTTTTTCTCCTTGCTCTTGTTTTCCTTGGAAGATGACCCTGAAGAAGAGGTAGGGTTACCATTACTAGCATGAATGCACTCCATGTGCTAGCTATGAAAAAAAAAAAAAACACAATTATAAAAAACCTAATGAAAGTTGTGACTATAGCTAGCTTTGAATTTTAGTAGGGGACGTAGTTCCTTTTAAGTTGCAACACATATTTATATAGCACAAAGAATGTGAGTGACATTGGTACAATGATTTTTTAATGAATGGAAGAGAAGATGTGTCTTCATGTGAATCAGCCAATCTTTGGGGCAGGATACGGTTATGGGACCCGGGGCTGAGACTCATTTTCTTTTCCTTTTGTCTTTGTGTTCTTTTGGTTGTGTTGGTTCTGTTTAGTAACAGGCTTCTATGATTTCTTAACTGTGAATTATGTGTCTTCGAATATTTAGGGAGTGCTTAAATTAGTTTATTTATTTATTATTAAAATAGTTAATATATAATTAAAATCTTAAGGGGAGGGATTAGTAAAAATGTATTTATATTATTCAATAAGATTACATGATTAAATTATTGGTTTTTACACACTAGTGTAAACTGTTGATTGTACTTGCATTATGTCTCTCGTGAACTATAGTTTGTTAATAACCTTGAGGTCATCACCCCAAAAGCTAGTTCAAGGAGTGAGAGTGTCCAAGGCCTTATAAAAGCCATATTAGTTGCTCATCCAATCAATGTGGGACTATATATCTCAACACGACCCCTCACGCAAGAGCCCTCTGGGCTAGAAGCGTGGAATTGCACAGGCCTAATTTTTTGTTTACCTTTTTGTGCTTTTTATTTTAATTCCACTTTAAAGTGGGGGACAGTGAGGCTCTGATACCATGTTAAGAACCTTGAGGTCATCACCCCAAAAGCTAGCTCAAGGGGTGGGAGTGCCCAAGATCTTATAAAGGCCATATTAGTTGTTCATCCAATCAATGTGGGACTATATATCTCAAACATAATTCTTAATAAATTAGAATCATTAGACATAAATAGAGTCAACAGTTAATAATTTTTATATGGATATAAATTAATTGGGATATTTATAAAAAGTTATCAAATATTGTGAATTTCTAGGACTTATACATATATACACCTTTCATGACCCTTAAGAATGTTTAACTTAATGGTGAAAGAGGTGTGGTAATTTGTTTGACTATTCAAGTTCTAACCTTGTATCAATAACTAAGCTAAGGCTTAATTTCAATTAAAGCAAAAGTTGGACAGAAAATATTCTTACCAATCAACTAAAAAGAAAAATAAATCTGGTGTGTGACATTATGACCCACCACAGAAGGAGGGCAAAAGCACTAGCAGCTTAATACGTTGGCAAGTGACAGAGATTAGGCCCTCCATTTGTCTTTTGATTGCAAGGGTACTCAGAGGTGATCAAAGAGAAAAAAAGTAAGGGAATTGGAGGGGGTCCTTCACCTGAAATCGAAGCAAAGCTTTTGCACTTGCAACCCAAGGACGAAATAGACCACTCGTTGTCATGGCTTTATTATGTACGGTTTGTGCTTTTCATCCTAAGAGAGCCAGCATTTTTTTTTTTTTGGAGGGCAAAAAATCAAATATACTGAAAGAAAAAAAGTATGCCAAAATAAATTGAATTAAGATTTTATTATAGAAATAAATTTGATGATTTTGCATTGAGTTTGTATACCAAAGTAAATATATAAAAAGTATGCCGAAGTAAATCAGAACACTCTAAGGGGGTATTTGGTAGAGGATAAATTTATTTTGTCCGGAATCTCAATTTTTAAAAATATGACTTTTATATTCAGTTTACAATAATATCTAAAAAATTAAAAAAAAAATTAGTTTCTCAAAAATTCTAAAAAAAACCACGTACCAAACGGCCCTGATAGCCTTTAATGCATATCATTAAACGCCTATTATTAAGATTATTTTTTGTCAAATTTTAGGGGGGACGGTGGCCCACCCTAACACCCTTGTCTCCTAATGATACACACTAGATGTTAAAAAGATAAAAACTATTCATGTTTTGCGTTTTATTTTATTTCACTTGGACGTTGCTTTCAAGGGAGAAAAGAAAAGAGCTTAAGGTTGATTCAGCTCTTCTTTTCAAGAAAAATATTATACCAAAGTTTACTTGAACCACTAGGGTATTAAAGTTTTTGTTTTAATAGAAAGGTGTTGTTACATAAATATTACTTTACCTGTATAAAAAGCTCAGTCTTTTTTTTTAATCATTAAATCTATAAAGAAATTTAGATATAAATCAGTAATCTTACATATTTAGGGTGACCTCTAAGTAGTGTACACAATATACACATCCAAAGAAACCAAAGTTTTAAAATTTTCTTTTTCTGTTGTCTTTGTGGGGGTATCTTGCCCAAAAAGCATTGTTTTTTATGTGACACATTGAATTTTCTTGAAACCCTTTTCCAATTTCAAAGTGTTGAGATATATAGTTCCACATTAGTTGCACAATTCAATGCTTCTAGCTTACAGGGCTCTTGCGTGAGGGGACGTGTTGAGATATATAGTCTCATATTAGTTTGTATGAGCAATTAATGTAGAGTTTATAAGGACTTGGACACTCTCACCCTTTAAGCTATCTTTTGAATGGTGTATCCCAAAGTTATTTATGCAAAGGGACCCATGCATGGTAGATTTGAACAAAGTGACATCTAAAATTACTCTTCTTCAAATAAGATTGAAACCCTCAATCTGTTGGGTCACAGAAGCAAACTTAAGAATCTGTATTGTAGCTTACTGTAAAGTGGTTTAGTAGTTCCATCCTTGGTATGTGACACTACAACGCAGAAGGATCAGTATTTGTTCTGCTACACGAAGGATGATTGATTGCATAAATTTTTTCTAGAAACACATAAAAGTAAGTAAAAGCTGAAAATAGTGTTAGTAAGGAACGGATCTTCTCATGTTAAAAAAGATATGATATGATCACATAGACAATTATAATCATATAAAATTAGATCAATAATAATAAAAATAGAGAGAAAAAAATATTAAAATAAATAATTACTGAATCATAATTGTTAATTTACTTTTATATAGTTATGATTATCTCACGTGATCATATCATTTTTTTTAAAACAAAAAATTCATTTTTGTGATACCAACTTCAAGGAAATGAGAACCACTAGGGTTAGCCTAGTGGTGTGGGGTGTGTGTGTTAGGAGTGTGTGTAGTGTAGGGTGTTGTGTTCAATTCCTTGTAACTTCAAAAAAAAAAAAAAAAAAACTTCAAGGAAATGAGAAATTTTTTTGAGTGAGACAGAGAAACAAAGGTTGAACAAGAGCACATGTGGCTCCGGCTTTCACGATGCGTGAGAGTGGGTAGGTAATAGAACTCTAATTATTCTTGCCTGTGCATATGAAAATCTTTACTTGTCCACTCAGATGTGTATCTCATCTAGTCAAACACACATCAATCTTTGCACAATACATTTGTAAATAAAATCTAATAAAAAAATTGTACAGAAGAATAAAATTAATTATCTACAAATCGAATAAAATTAATTATCTACAAATCAATTACCCCATCATTTCTTTTCCTGCTGATGTAAGTGATGGAGACGAATGTATTGAAATGTTCTGATTTGATTTAATTTGTTAATAAAAAAAGTTGCACAAATTAAGCTAGGTACATGCACAAAACTAGGGTTTTCTTATCATTGTAGTGAAAAATATAAAATATATCACCGGTTTAATTTTTTTTTTTACAACTATTTATCTATTTAATATAAGTAAAATATGTATGGAAGTATGCGCCTTTAAATTACATATTATCACATATGTGATTTGTGTAAAATCCAAAATGTTGCGTGCTGATAGATGTGCATATGTGAAGTGCACAACTTGCTTTTTACAAAAGTACACATGAGGTGATGTACAGACTTACATACGCACTAAGGGTGTTCATGAACCGATACAAACCGATTCAAATCGCGGTGACCGAACCGAAAAACTGATAACCGAATAAACCGAAAACTAATTAAAAACCGCAAATTTTAATTAGATTGGATCAGTTTTTAGATGGGTTGATGAAAATCGATCCAATCCAAACCGATCCAATATATTAATTTCTCACTATCTACTTGGGTATTTCCCTAATCATAGCCTAAAAATTTCTAAACCCAAGACCCATTAACCCATCAACTAAACCCAAGAAAAAATCTAGTCATATCTCATCAACAAAATTTTATCTTTGTAGAGCTTCATATCTCATTGCCAAAATTAAAAAAATTATATTATAGTTTACTAATGCTTTTGTATTTCAAAAAAAAAAATTACAAAGCCAATATATACAAAAGATGTTATTTGTACAATAATCATGAAATAAATTTTAAAATTTTCAAAAAACCGAAAACCGATCCAATCCAAACCGAAAAAAATTAGATTGGATCGGATCGGATTTGAAAAAAAATCAAAACCGAATGGGTGAATATATGATCAAACCGAAGGGATTGGATCAGATGATTTTTGCTTCCAAAACTGATCCAATCCAGACCGCGAACACCCCTAATACGCACACTTTCATTAAATAGGTAAATAATTTTTCAAAAAAATTATGTTGACTTTTTTTAATTGAAGCAGTAAAAAAAGCCATAATATATGAAGCATTTAAAAAAAAAAAATTTCAGACGAATAACTTGCATTGGAATACGTGAGGAGTGTATGAGTGTAAATTTGTGTAACAATGATTACAGTCAGTGAATCTATTAGTTGGGGACTTGGGGTTAGCTAGTGAGTAGACCTGATAACAAAACCAAATATGAAAAAGGGAAAGTGCAGTTGGTGAGTTTTTGGATTAGCCATTGGATTTGGGTCCCACAGGTGAAGCGTGGTAAACGTAAAACTATGGTTGCAATTTGCTTATATGTTGGTGAAATAATGCTCTAACAAGTTCTGAGGAGGGGGAAAAGGGTTCCTGTTTGGGACAGACATAAGTTGTTTTCAACTATTTATGGTGAGTGAAGAAGCATAACAATTCTGACAGTATTTTGAGTAACAGAAACGTTACCAGAAGGTCCATAGAACTTTTTACACTCCTAAAAGAGAAAACAAGCACACACTCTCCCCAAAATCCAATACTTCACTTTGTGGTGAGTATTGTTATTTATGAGAGGTAACTAGGGCTCATAGATGCCCCAAAACTATCACTGAAAATAGGCCATTCTTAAATGTTGGGGACACATGAGTATGTACGTAGAGATGGTGGTAAATGAATCAGGGTCTTTGACTCGATATGTGAATAAGTTTACATGGTTTAAAATTAGTTGTTGGAATCATATTTGGACTTGTATAAAAGTTACTTTAATAAAAAAGCTTCAGTCACAAATTCAAAAGCTCAGGCTTAGAGCCTCTCGAGGTAGCTTAGTATATTATTTTTATTTTATAATTTTTATATTACTTGTAATAGCTCTCTCTCTCATCAATTCATTTCACCCATTTTATTGGTCCTAGTATAATAATTTTTATTTTATATTTTTTATATTACTTGTAATAGCCTCTCTATCTCCTCAATCCATTTCATCCATTTTTTTGGTTAAACAGACTTTTTGAATGATTTTGGAATTACTAGTAGTGTTAATTGTATATTCTGTTTGGATAAATTTTTGTTGTCTTATTTTTTAAACAGGCTAAACCAGACTTTTATTTTTTGTAATTAAGTCAGGTCACATGCCGATAATTATATTCATAACAGGTAATATGTTTGGTACATATTTAAACACAGACTTAACCTTTTAAGACTAAAGTTCGGCTCTGCTCGACCTGATAACACCCCTATATGTACGTAATATTTCTTTTCTTTTAAATTTTGGATACGTCTTGTTAAATATTACAATATGTCTATATCATTTAAGTGTATGTTATTTCATGTAAAATATCAATTTTTGTTAATAAATTATTTGATTTGCTATTAGTTAAAATAAATTATTGTTTCATTTTTCAAAACTTGTGCTATCTTTAGGATTTATTGCTTACTTAATGTATTTTATGGAATTTTATTGAGGACTTGTAACAATCACCTGGATGACATGCTAATTGAAAATGAAGAGATCTTTGGTCTGTGGTGTAATATTCTAAAAAAATATATATAATAATAATAAATAAAATATAAAATATCTTAGATACTTAGATAAAATATCTTAGATATTTATAAACGTAATGATTAAGATTCCTTAGATATTTATAAAGGTAATTATTAGATTCCTTAGATCTTTATAAAAAGTAAAGATTACATTTCCTTTTCAAAAACTATATAACCCCCCCCCCCACACACACACAAAGTTGCGTAGAGAGGAAGGAGAGAGAGAAAAAAAGAGAGAGAGAGAGAGAGAGAAAGAAGGAAAGAAAGAGAGGAGAAGAAGAAGAGAAAGAGAAAACAAAAAGAAAAGGGAAGGTAATATTGGGAGTAAGCAACTCATTCTCTACTTTACTTTTAAAGTTAATTTTTAGATATTTTATAAAGCTATGTTGGTTTTGTTGTTATCTATGTTATGTTTAAAGTTGGTATTTTAAAGTTATTTCTTTAAAAGTTGTGAATATGCCGTTACTCTGCCAAAATTATTTTATGAATTTTTTCTACTCTTTTACTTTATTTTCTATATTTGGCTTTGTTAATTTGATGAATTTACTTATAGTAGATATGAGAATAATTTTGAATCAAGATTATAAAAATTAAAGAATTTCTTTGGTACCAAATGAATACTAATGGAATATGTAATCTTTTACTGAATGATTCTGATGTGACTGACCCACAAGGGGATCAGAATTGTTATAGGGTAAGGGACGCCTTATCATGGCTTGAGCTCCACCATACAGAACCTTTCACATACAGAACCCACAGAGTTTGGGCGCTCCAGAATTGAGCAGTAGTCATTTCAGTTAAAGATTACACGTTCCTATATGTGTATCTAGAACCCACAGAGTTTGGGTAGAACCCACAGAGTTTAGGTAGAACCCACAAAGGTTTGGGTATGACTGAATGAAGAACCCACATAGATTAGACTTATATTTATTGTTTATGATATTATTTTCTTATTATAAATTTTATTATGTGAGAATGATATTTTCCACTAAAGTGGCTGGATTGGTTATAGTTCGAGAACCCCAATATTACTGAGATTTATCTCACGTGTGTTTGTTTTTATGCTAACCTTTTCAGAGTAAACATACCAGTATATGTAGCTTTGGAGTAGGATAAAGCACTATGGCTAAAGACTTTGAAGACTATATGGAGCTTAGTGGAGCAAATTAATAGAAAGAAAATGTTTCTCTTTAGTTTAGATTATGATGTATTTCTGATGTAATAGTGAACTTGACTTTTGTATAATTAGATTTTATGGGTATTTTATCATATGCCTTGTTTCATATTTGCTGCATTAAAATTTCACTTAAGAATTATGTGATATTCTCTATGCTAGTCAGTAGTAGAGGATGTTACATTTTATAGTATCAGAGCAGCGGTTCAGGTAAATAAAAGACCGAAACCATTATAGTTGCTTGTATTTTGTCATAGATCATACATATTTTGAGTTATTTTAATGAGCCTGATCAACTCACTATCATAAAACAATATATGTAGATCTATGGCAGATACAAGGCATATATCTTCTTCAACTTCTGATCCAGAAGTTAACCCAGTAACGGATGCATTTTCCCAAGTGGCAGAAGCTCTTAGAAAACAAACTATGACTACTCAACAAATTATTCGGGAGCTAAGGGAGGATCGTGCAACCAGAAATCACACTCATAATTCTGAAAGTGAAAATAGACCTAGAACTGCAAATACTAAGGAAGGACTTAATTCTGATTATAAAGGACTCACTGAATTCCGTAAGCATAAACCTTCCACTTTTCGTGGAGATTATAATCCTGAGGCAGCCATGGAATGGGTGAAAGAACTTGAAAAAATATTCCTGGTAATGTACTGTCCTAATACTCATCGTGTAAACTTTGCCACATACTTATTGATTGGAGAAGCAGAGCATTGGTGGACAAATACCAAAAGATATTTTCAAAGCCAAGGAACAGAGATTACTTGGACAATATTTAAAGATGCCTTTTTGGAAAAATACTTTCCTCAAAGTGTAAGAAACAGAAAAGAAATAGAATTCCTTGAACTGAAACAAGGAAACATGACCATTGGACAATATGTGACAAAATTTGAAGAACTGTCCAGATATTCTAACTATGTACAAAATCAACCTAATGAGGAATGGTTGACAACTAAATTTGAATCTGGACTAAAACCTGAACTAAAAAGCATGATAATAGGACACCAAATAAGGAATTTTTCATCATTAATAAACAGGTGTAGAGATACTGAAGCAAATATGAAGGAGGCTGAGGATGCAAGAGAGAAAGACAGAGCCTCAAATCGAAGAAGGAATGAGGACAACAACAAAGGAAGGTTTCCACGGGCGCAAAACTTGGGAAATAATTTTGCTAGCAATGGAGGGAAGCAGAATGCGGGTCGGACGAATTTCCAGATTCAGGTATGTCCAAAATGCAAGAAAAATCATGCTGGAGAATGTTTGGGAGGAAGAGATGTGTGCTTTAAGTGTGGGAAGCCTGGACATATGTTGAGGAATTGTCCTCAGAATCAAGGTCATAATTCATCAAACCAACCTACAACAAGAGGAAGAGTTTTCACCCTAAGTGGTCAGGAAGCAGCTCAAGCTTCAAACTTGGTTCAAGGTACGGGCTTAATACAAGATTATCTTATAACTGTACTTTTTTATTCTGGGGCTACTCATTCTTTCATATCCTTATCTTCTGCTCAAAAGTTAAAATTACCAATTTCCATTTTACCTTCTTATCTTGAAATCTTTCTTCCTACTGGAGAAAAGATAACCACATCTCAAGTCTGTAGAAATTGTCATCTTCAACTCGAAGGGAAATTGTTTGAGATAGATTTAGTTTGCTTGCCTATGATTGATATAGATGTGATTCTTGGTATAAATTGGTTGTCTGCTAATTGTGTGGTCATTGATTGTCATAATAAAAGTATAATTTTCACAAATGAGTCAGAACTTTCCAATGAATCTTTATTCTTGTCAACTTCCCAACTTAGGAAGAGTTTGTCAGATGGAGCACAAGGATATGTTATCTTTAATCTTTCAGAAGCAAAGGTTAAACCTGATGTAGCCAGTATCCCTATGGTCACTGAATACTCAGAGGTTTTTTCGAATGAAATTTCAAGTTTACCCCCAAATAGAGAAATTGAATTCTCCATTGACCTAATACCTGGAGTAGGGCCAATTTCTATTGCACCCTATAAGATGTCACCTGTAGAGCTTGTTGAACTAAAGAAACAATTAGAGAAACTTTTATCAAAGCAGTTCATTAGACCTAGTGTGTCACCTTGGGGAGCATCAGTGCTCTTTGTCAAGAAAAAAGATGGAAGTATGAGGTTGTGTGTGGATTATAGGCAACTAAACAAAGTCACCATTAAAAATAAATATCTTTTGCCTCGGATAGATGACCTTTTAGATCAGTTGAGAAGAGCCACAGTATTTTCTAAAATAGATTTAAGGTCAGGATATCACCAGATCAAAATTAAGACTGAAGATATTCCAAAGACAGCCTTTAGGACTAGGTATGGACATTATGAGTATCTAGTTATGCCTTTTGGATTGACAAATGCTCCAGCAGTATTTATGGATTATATGAATAGAATTTTTAGACCTTACCTAGATCAATTTGTAGTGGTGTTTATAGATGATATTTTAATATATTCTAAGGATAAAGAGGAGCATAAAGAGCACTTAAGAATAGTTTTACAAATTTTGAAAGATAAGCAATTGTATGCCAAACTTTCAAAATGTGAATTCTGGATGGAAGAAGTTAAGTTCTTAGGACATGTTATTTTAAAAGAAGGAGAACATGTCTTTCTTAAACTTTCTCCTACCACAGGTGTAGGCAGAACTCCCAAAGTTAGGAAACTGAGTCATAGGTATATTGGTCCATTTCAAATACTTCAAAAAATAGGGCCAGTTGCTTACCAACTTGCTCTTCCACCTCATCTTTCCAATCTCCACAATGTTTTTCACGTTTCTCAGCTTAAAAAGTATGTCCCAGATCCCTCTCACATTCTTGATATAGACTCAGTACAAGTTAAAGAAAACAAAAAGAAAAAGGAAGGTATATTGGGAGTAAGCAACTCATTCTCTACTTTACTTTTAAAGTTGATTTTTAGATATTTTATAAAGCTATGTTGGTTTTGTTGTTATCTGTGTTATGTTTAAAGTTGGTATTTTAAAGTTATTTCTTTAAAAGTTGTGAATATGCCGTTACTCTGCCAAAATTATTTTACGAATTCTTTCTACTCTTTTACTTTATTTTCTATTTTTAGCTTTGTTAATTTGATGAATTTACTTATAATAGATATGAGAATAATTTTGAACAAGATTATAAAATTTAAAGAATTTCTTTGGTACCAAATGAATACTAATGGAATATGTAATCTTTTATTGAATGATTCTGATGTGACTGACCCACAAGGGGATCAGAATGGTTATAGGGTAAGGGACGCCTTATCATGGCTTGAGTTCCACCATACAGAACCTTTCACATACAGAACCCACAGAGTTTGGGCGCTCCAGAATTGAGCAATAGTCATTTCAGTTAAAGATTACACGTTCCTATATATGTATCTAGAACCCACAAAGGTTTGGGTATGACTGAATGAAGAACCCACAAAGATTAGGCTTATATTTATTGTTTATGGTATTATTTTCTTATTATAAATTTTATTATGTGAGAATGATATTTTCCACTAAAGTAGCTGGATTGGTTATAGTTCGAAAACCCCAATATTACTGAGATTTATCTCACGTGTGTTTGTTTTTATGCTAACCTTTTCAGAGTAAACAGACCAGTATATGTAGCTTTGGAGTAGGATAAAGCACTATGGCTAAAGACTTTGAAGACTATATGGAGCTTAGTGGAGCAAATTAATAGAAAGAAAATATTTCTCTTTAGTTTAGATTATGATGTATTTCTGATGTAATACTGAACTTGACTTTTGTATAATTAGATTTTATGGGTATTTTGTCATATGCCTTATTTCATATTTGCTGTGTTAAAATTTCACTTAAGAATTAATGTGATATTCTCTATGCTAGTCAGTAGTAGAAGATGTTACATGTGGTGCAATTCATATCAAATTTAAAGTGAGATTAATGAGTTTTATTTTGCAGAGAGTGTTACTGTGTGTTTTGCTTTGTGCCCTAATTTTCTTTGATATATCACTAATGTCTATGAAGCACCGACACTTCAAAAATTTTGACGTGTCGTGTCCGACACTTTCCAACACTCCAACACTCCAATACGTATTATAGAAATTCAAAAAAGGTTCAAAGGTCGCCTTGCGTTGAGTTTTTAATTCCAACTATTAGATTACGATTATCATTTTATTGAGTTTAATATAAATATTTGGAATATCTTATGTTTCTTTGCAAAATTGATGAATATTATAAGTTTAGTTTCATTTTTTGTTAAATTATTGAATAATAAATATAATACACATTACATAAATTAAAAATATTATTTAATATCAAAACGTGTCCTAACGTGTCAAAATTTAACATTTTTTAGAATTAACGTGTCAGAGTGTCGTGTCGGAGTGTCACGTATCCCGTGTCGGTATCGGTGCTACATAGACTAATGCAATACAATGCCAATCTAATTGTACTAAACATCAATTTGATTTTATATCAATTGACTAAACCGTCGAGTATCATTATTTTTATATTTTAAAGAATTTAAATATATATTTAATATCTTTATTATGAAAATATAACATCATTTCAATCTTTTAAAAGAATTATGATCAATTTAGTGTTTAAAATATTAAATCAATTGAATTATTCAATAAAACTATAAATATTAATTTAATCAGTAATCATAAAAAGAATATCAGTTTAGTCATTGAGTCCCAGAGTCCGTTAGTAGAAGGATAATTTTGATATTATTATTCATAATTGAGAAAACTAAATTAATAAAAACTAAATAATGACACCTATTTTTTCCTTCTAAATAAAATATGACTTTACTCTTATTCACACGTAAAAAAGAATAAACAGACTCTGTCATTAGAGATGTTTTCAAAATAAGTTCGAAACCTTTTAAAGCATATGTTATTTATTTAATATCCAATCCATTCAAATTTACCGGAAGTATTGATATTAGTGACACTCTCCTAACATTATTATTTTTATTTTTATTTTTAGAACTTAAATTTAAAAGAAATAATTTTTATCAATTAAATTTATAATTTATTGATAAGCAGATGATATGATGACCCTAAATTTTATACGAGTATTTATTTATTTATTTATTTTTTTTCTTTTTTTGAGTAATCTCAAGGCTATCCTCCCGCCGTAACCGAAGATTAATTCCCACTTGAGCACTGTCGGATCCTTTCAGGGGCGGCTCTCCCAAATCTTTTTTTTCCATTCCCAGGACTCGAACTCGAGATCTCTGGTTAAGGGGCTCAGGCTCCTTACCACTTGTGCCAAAGGAGTTTGGTGGATATTTATTTTTTAATATAACTTATTTTTGTTATAAAAAACAATGTTACAGTAAAACATTATTATTGGATAGTCATATGTCATATTTAAAGAAAAATGGCAATTTGGTTTTTAAAATACAATACTTAAGTTATTTTGGTACTTGAAGGTTTTTGAAATTATAAAATTCTTAAAAGTTCACCATATAGAAGTTATTAGTTTATCAAAAAGTTAATTCTTTTAGGGACTGATTTTTAACATATAAGGAAAGTATTGGATTTTTTTTAGGTTTTACTTTTTTCTAAAAAGATTTATTCAATTATCTTCTAATATTTTAGAATAAAATCAATAAATTATACTTCTCCATTGAGAGATACTTAATACTTTCTCTTTCATTTTAAAAAAATTAACTGAGTATGTGCTACATTTTAATATTAACTTCCTTTTATCTCTAATTTCTGTGTATGATTCTTAACGTCATTAATAACAAATTTCGAACTTCTATTTTTAACTTTAAGATTTTAAAATAAGAAATAAAGGTTTTAGGTTAAGTTTTAAAACGGTAATAAGAGTATTTAAAATATTTTTATCTTTTAAAATTTTCAAATCAATAATATGCTATTTAACTGTTGCAAAGTGAATAAAAATTGCATTAAAATGATTAACAAAAAAAAGTTACATTAAAATTGATTAAAGCACATTTATTTTATCTCTTAAAAGAGAGAAATGTAATTTTTTAGGGATTTGTTAATCTACTGCGCCAGAAGATAACTTATCATATCCTATAGATACAAATTGTGTGGGTTCCACCGTTTTTCAAAAAAAAAAAAAAAACAATAGCACGGCTTCTAATGTTTCTCTCACGAGAGAGGATTCTCTTCTGTGACATATGATAATTTAAACCCATAAAAAATAAAAGAAGGGAATGATGCAATTTACATAGGGATAGAATATTGTTACTACCAAATAATATTACTATCAATATTACTACCATATCTTAATCGTTGATTTCCGTCAATCAACGGTTATTATTTACATAAATCAAACTTATTAATTAATTATTAATTTGCAATAGATGATAACAGTTGATTGACGAAAATCAACGGTTAAGATATGATAGTAACATTATTTGGTAGTAACAATATTTTATCCGTATGAGAAAATATTTGTCATTTTGAAAGTCACAACTTTGTGTCATTATACATTCTCTCTCCTTCACTTTGAGTCTATTCTTAATTTAATTGAGGAGAGAGAATGCAAACAATCACAAAATATACATTAAAACGATGTTATTTTATATAAAATGACACAAAATTATATCCTTTAAAATGACAAATATTTTTTTCTTTACCTATAGGGTTCTCTTTTTCTGCAGTTACTGCAGATAAGTTATTTGCAGTAAGCCCAATATGACGTCATTTTGAGGCATAAATTATGGTGTTTTTGTAATTTTAATTTATTTTAAGGTTATTATAGTCTTTATAATTATAATTTTTTAATATTGCAATCCCAAAACGACGTCGAATCGGGAGTAAATGCAGATAACTTATCTGCAGTAACTATAGAAATATTTTTCTGTTAAATATATATAAAAATAAGAGTGTAATTATTTAGTTGTTTGTTAAAAATATATTTTCCTAAACAAACACAAACAAAAAAACTTTAATATTTGTTGAAAACTAATGAAAAAAAATCATTCCTATTTTTTTTCAAATTAAATAAGAGTTTATTTGGTTTTTTTTAACTTACAAGTTACTTTTAAGCTAAAGAAAAAAAAACTTTAAAAATAAAGTTAAAATTAAAAATTGTTTAATTATTATATAATTTTTTAATTTAAAAACTCAAATTAAAAATAAGTTGAGACAATTTAAAAAAAACTCTCCTAGGAACTTCGAATTTTTTATTATAAAAAAGCTTGTTTTTGTAAAAACATGTTTAACCTTATTTCTACTTATAAGGAGAATAGAAGTTAAAAAAGACTTTCCAAAGTCAATAAGTCATTGACACTTGTACTTAATGTAATTTATTTCTACAATCACGAGATTTTATTATGCTTTACGGTATTTCGATAACAATTAATTTACTGCAAACGTTTTGTGATTATAATTAAATTAGTATTTTTTGCACACTCTTCGATAAATAAAATCGGCACAATTATATTTATCACAATTTTAGATTTATAATTCTTATGAAGTTATCGATCATTTCAAAATTAACGATTAAAAAAAAAGAAAAAATTATTTGATTTCGAATTAATCTAACGACAATCACATAAATAATCAGCATAAAATGATAATAAATATAAATTTTCCAAAGAAAATTATATTAGACTAATAAACATTATTAATAGTAATATATTTGAAAATATAAATTAAAAAAAAAAAAAGAAAAGAAAAGAAAAAGAAAGAGGGGGAAAGTGAGAATAGAATGGAAAGTGAAAGTTGGATGACATTCACATGACCAACAGTTCTCCGGAAGAGACAAAGATTTCAAAGGCTAAAATAGTGATTCTATATCACACAAAAACCTCTGCTCTTTTTCCCTTTCATCAAAACGCAGCACTTCGTTGCGTTTTGAATTCACCGGAAGTTCCATGAAGAAATCGCCGCGTTCCGCCGGAAACTCGCCGCCGAACGACGAGATCGAGTGGGAGATGAGGCCTAGCGGCATGTTCGTCCAGAGACGCGAAGTGGGTGTCGATGATCGCAACGATGGACCCATGATCATTATCAGTGTTGCCTTTGGTTCTTCTCACCATGAGGTCTTCCTCCCAGCTCAATCAACTTTCTGTGAGTCTCTTCTCTCTCCAATCTACTGTGTTTTGTTGGCTTTCTGGTTGAATTTTAAACATGGGTTTTGTTTTAGTTTGCTTATTGAAGAGTAAAGTTTTGAAATTTGGGTAGCTGTTGTTTTGGTGAATGCATACATGGTTTAAGTGGTGATGTTATGTGAGTCAATGATTGTGGAGGATTTCAGTGGATTAAGAAATTTTGGTTGTTGAGTTGGTTTTTTGAAGGTTGGTGTTGCTCTTTAATGATTGAGTTTGCATTTAAACACAATACTGTATCTTGTTGAAGATAGTGAACTTTGCTGCTCACTGACATGGCTAAAAGGTTTGATGTTGCATTAATGGTTTTATATGTGATATTATATTTATGTAACAACCTTCTTACACACGAGCTCATTGCGCGAATGACTACTACATATCCTCTCGTACCATATAAAGAATTAATTCAATCTATAAGTTTAAGCTGTTAGTTGAAGACACTGATTTTATATTTGATATTATATTTCTCTAAAAGAACTGAAACTTGTAATTATAATACTAGTAGTTGAAATTTTAAACTTTGGCCTAAACGAGGTTAGTCCTTTAGTTTAGTGTCAGCTAATACAAATCAGTGATGACATATAACGTAATGCTTTCATCAAGCTTTCTGTCTTACCAAATAAACTTGGTGTTAGAGAGGGGGGCTAATAAATACCTCCTAATGAACTAGCATTTATCTCAAGATTAAATGTTGCTTATCTGAGAAAGAAATTTTTATGACAATTATAGTAATTAGGATCATTGTATTTATCACTCTATACGCCTGTAAGTATTCAGTTACTGCTCTGTAATAGTAAGATGGTTTTCAGCAAATGCCTCTCTTTTTCTATCTCTCAAAATGGTATCTAAGCCTAAAAGAGAGGTAACCCCAACCGTGTATGCCCGTTGGACCCACTGGCCACCAGTGATTTTTTTTCTTCATTTTTTGGCGCCACCTTGTTTTCTAGTCTGGTTATGTCCAACCACTGTTGGTTCATCCTCCTGGCAGTCTCCCGCCCTCACTGCCGCTGTCTGCCACTGCCAGCAAACTTCCTGGCCAAAACCACCTAAAACAGACTTCACTGTGTGCTGATTTACCCATAGCTGGAATTTTAGATCCGATTTGTGAACAGCTCACCTCTCTCTTGTTTGCACTTGCAAATGCTTGGGTCGACATGTAGGATGTCCATTCACGCTGCCATTTGTTGCGCCAAGGTTGCTGGCCCTCTCCATGGATTTGCCTTCCTTTGGTGTTTTCCCTACCCGGTGACGTGTCATCTCGTCTCGTCTCGTCTCGTTTTGGGCTTCTTCCACTAACCCATAGCCTCTGCTACCTCTAATGAACCCTTGAAGGCTGAGTCCCATGTTTTCACCAACTATGTCAGTGCCCCACTCTCCACTGCCAAATTGGGTGGTACCAACTATGATGCTTGGGCGATCGTATCAAACTTAGGCTTACCAGCCAAGACTGTGTACACCAACTTATTACCTAAACCAATTCCATGTTCATGCCCGAATGGTCCATATGGACTTAATCGAAGCCCAGCTCTGTAGTGTCATCAAGTCCAACATTCATCCTTCCTTGAAGCAGATTTTTCAAGCCTGCATCATGTGTGAATTGGTTTCTTTGGATTAGGCTAAAGCCCTTTATACCATTTCACACTCAATGCCTTTGCGGGTAATGCGAAAACCTTATGAATGTTATTCCCCCTTGGAGTTTTGATGGTTATGTGTGTGTTTATTTGGGCAAAGTTCACGGGGCTCTGCATATTCAAGGGCCGAAGCATAATACCAAGCCATGGAATCAACTACTTGTAAACTCATAAATCAAACAACTACTTCAAGAACTCAGATTTGGGGAGATTACGCAAATGATGCACATTTGTGATAATCAAGTTGCATTGCATATTGCCTTGAATCTTGTGTTTCATGAGAGGACCAAATATATTGAGATAGATTGCCATTTCACTAGAGAGAAGATCATATTTGGAGACATCACCACCCACTTCGTCAATTCAAATGATCAACTAACAGATGTGTTTACTAAGTCTTTGAGGGGTCATGAAGTAAGTTATATATGTAACATGCTTGGTGCATATGAGCTATCTTCCCTATCTTGAGAGGGAGTGTTGGAAACTAAGTACATAATATCTAGGCTCATTGTATTGGAATAATCAAATCATGTAGTTATAATAATTAAATTACGATCCTTGTTTTTATCACTATAGTCCTATAACTATTCAGTTACTGTTGTGTTAATGGTAAGATGGTTTTGAGCAAATGGTTCTCTCTCTCTCTCTCTCTCTCTCTCTCTCTCTCTCTCTCTCTCAACAACAACAACAAAATCTGCTTTGAAAAGAAGATAAGAAAGCAAGATCTTAAGACTCAGGCATTATGAATTTTGAGAATATACATATACAAACAGATTTTACTTTTATATTTAATTATTTTGTGTTCTTATACACACAGTTGATATCCAGAGTAACTAAACTGTATTTCGTGAGAAAATAAGAGTACTATTTTGATAAACTGGAAAGTTCAGTGACCTGAAGCAAATTACATGATTTTTTTCATACCATGCCTAGAACGTATTAAAGTTTTGTCCTACATCATGGCATTGATAGTTTCTTCATCTGGAATATGTTTGAGGAAATTAGTGTTTGTCTTAAAAGTTACAGCTTACAAGTAGTATGTACTCTAGAATTTATTCTGTTGTCATTGGTATGTGTCTCTTTGTCTTAACTTAGTCTTTAATAACAGGGGATGTTAAGAAACTGCTTGCACACAAAACTGGCTTACAGCCTGAAGAGCAACGACTCTTCTTCAAAGGAAAAGAAACAGAGAATGAAGATCATTTGCACATGGAAGGTGTGAAGGACAAGTCAAAGCTTTTGCTTTTGGAGGATGCTGCTAGCAAAGAGAGGAAACTTGAGGAAACTAGAAAACACAATGAAATGTTAAAAGCTTCTGAAGCTGTTGCCGGAGTCAGAGCAGAGGTGGACATGCTCTCTGAGAGGGTGAGCCCGTGTTTTGCATATTATTGTTATTATTTATAAAAACATAACTGGAATGGGAGAATGAAGATATAACTGATTTTAATTTTGTAGGTTTCCGCCTTGGAAGTGGCTGTGGATGGAGGGACTAGGGTTTCTGACAAAGAGTTTGTTGTGTCGACAGAGTTGCTTATGAGGCAATTGCTGAAACTGGATGGTATTGAGGCTGAAGGTGAAGCAAAGTTGCAGAGAAAAACTGAGGTAGTATTTATGGTGTTAGAGTTGCTAACTTGAAATTTTAACTATTTGTCTATTAATTGTTGTGCTTATTTTCTTATTCACAAAATCCCTTAGGTTGGTAAGTCATGGACAATGACATCTGCCAGTTTTATTATATAAATTATAAAGCAGCACCTGGGATTATGTGATATGCTTCTTATGAAGTGGTTTGCACCATGGTACCAACGTTTCTATTTATATCATTTTTTGTTGATGCAATATGGCTTAATATTTTTGTGCTAGCTTGTGGATCAAAGCTTTGTTTTCTTACCCAAAAAGTATCACTGTATGTGAGATTTTTGTTTACTGGTAATTGATACACTGGATTAGAGAGCTAGAACTGATGATAATATAACAAAGAATGTTTACGTTAGCTTAGAAAATATTGAGTATTGTGCTGCTAAACATTGTAATTAAGATTTTCATAATATAGATTAGATGTTTGACAAAGGTTCAACATTAATGAACTCCTATTGCATGAATTTCTTTCAAAAATGCTGTCTTGTGCAGTCTATGATGAAGCTTTTTGAACTTCTTATACATTTTCTACCCCTTTGTGAGTAAAATTTCTTAGCTAGCATTTCTTTTTAAAAGAAAAACTTTAACTTGAAAACCTTGTTGGTTTGATATACTCTGTTCCTGATGAGGTCCCGGAAATTTATTTTGGAAATGCCAATGGTCATTACTGGTCAAGTAATGAGACTTTTGTTCTCTAGGATAAAGGCATTTGAAGTGGCTTGGGGAAGAAAATACTATTTGGTAATTTGAACGGGTTGTTTTAGGAATGTGTAGGTCTTGTTGCTTTCCTGCTTTCAATCTTTTAGTTTAAATTTCATTACCAAAATTTTGATGTTGGTAGGGATTATATAGTGGCTTTGGTTCAACCTTCTCTGTACCTTTCCCTTCAAACTTACCATTATAGAGTATTGCAATTGAGTTCTATCAAAAATCCATTTGTGAATTCTTGCCATATCATCATAATTTACTGCTTGCTATGATGTCAAGTGTTTAGATCACCTAATGACGTGCACTGGTCTTACACTTTTCCACCACATTATCAATATCACAATGAATTATGTCTAGTTAGCGGTTTTGATGTTTGTTCAGAGTTGAAACTTGGAATACGTTCTTTTGTTAGTATGAGTTTCTTTGTCAAGTACTTTCTCTACATTTTTTTTTTTAATCTTTTTCCTTAACATGGGATGAAAGGATATATTCTTATACTACTTAAATATTGCGCATGTTGTTGGATTTCCCATTTTGGTAATCATCTATAATTGCATTATCTATTTACATTATCTTGGGGTGTTTGGTAGCAAGATTCTTTTGAGATGCATAGGAAAGTAAGAATGGGTATTTCAAAATACTATGTTTGGTAGCATTTTTAAATTTTTTTTGCTAGGGTAATTGGATAACTAGGATTCAATTTCATGTGTAAAAATTTGAAACAAAAATACCACATAGAAGGTGGTATTGTGACTTCCCCATGTAAATGAAAAAGGAGATTTGACTTTTGTGTCGAAAATAGCCTTGAGTAAATAGCTTGAATATTGTTGAAAGGTAGAGGTGCTCAAGTTAATTGAACCGGGTTTAGGTTCAGAAAAACAAACCAAGTCTATTTCTGGGTCGGGGTCAGACTACACTTTGGGTTGGTCCTACTGGATGTTACATAATATTTTAATAATTTTAAAAAAAATTAAGAATAAATGATAGAACTTTTTTAATGAATACGTTATGCATAACACAGAGGGCAACCAAACAGGGATATTTTTGTAATTGCAACTTATTTCCCCATCTATATCCAGTAATTTTTTTTTCAACCAAACAACTTTTCACTCATTTTCCTATCAATTACATTTTCCTAGTATTCAAAAAAAATTTCCTTAACCAAACGCCCCCTGAAGGCCTGAACATAAGTTTTTTCACTCTTCTAACAGGTGCGTCGTGTTCAGGAATTTGTGGATACGGTAGATTCTCTAAAGGCAAGAAATTCCAACCCTTATAGCCACATTGGTAAAGCTGTCTCAGTAACAACTCAATGGGAGACATTTGACTCTGGAATGGGAAGCTTGAATGCCCCAACCTCAACGTCATCTTCTGCAAATATAACTCAAGATTGGGAACGATTTGATTAGCTCATAAATTGTTATGTCACATTAAATTAGTACAACACCATTTTTGGACCTTGTTTCTTCATTCAAGGTTCAATTTTTTTTAGTTTGCTTAAAAGACAAAATATATGTAAAACCATTTGACTGCCTTAGGGGACGGTCTTTGAAGTTTGAACTAGGGACAAGAAAATGGAGGAGCATAATGTGGACACTCCTGCACACAAATGATTTGAGTCCATCCTGTGAATAACCTTGGGATACACCACCTCAAAAGCTAGCTCAAGGGGTGGGAGTGCCCAAGGCCTTATAAAGGCCATATTAGTTTTCCATCCAATCAATGTGGGACTATATATCTCAACACGTCCCCTCACGCAAGAGCCCTTTCGGCTAGAAGCGTGGAAATTGCACAGGCCCATTTTTGGTTTACCTTTTTGTGCTTTTTTTTTATTTTAATTCCACTTTTTAAAGCGGGGGATGGTGAGGCTCTGATACCATGTTGGAGATCTTGAAATGAATCATGCTTATTGAATTAATGAATTGAAAGTTGTACAATCTGATATATATATCAGATATTGAATGAAGATGTAAAGCAAAGTAAAAGGCGGGAAAATAAAAACTAACTTAACTGACATCTAATAGCTAACTAACAGTTAACTAACAATAACTGTTTGAATGGCTCTACGTTCTAAGAATAAACTGGCATTTGTAGATGGAAGAGTCGAAATTCCTGATGCAGATGACCCAATGTTTGTTGCATGGGATAGATGCAACACCATGATTCTCTCTTGGATTCATAAATCCATTTCAGAATCAATTGCACAATCAGTATTGTGGGCTGACAAAGCAATTGATGTTTGGAACGATTTGAGAGAAAGATTTTCCCAATCGGATATTTTCAGAATTTCTGATCTTGAAGATGATATTCTTAAGCTGCAACAAGGGAATCTATCAGTTGCAGATTACTTTACACAGTTGAAGGGTTTATGGGATGAGATGGACAGCCTCGAACCAATCCCATCATGTAGATGTCAACCAGCTTGTGCTTGTGGTCTTGTGAATCAAGTCAAATCCATGAGAGAAAGAAGTCGTGTGATCAGATTCTTGAAGGGACTCAATGATCAATTTTCAAATGTCAGATCTCAGGTGATGCTTATTGAACCTTTACCTGGTGTGAATAAGACTTTTTCTTTAGTCATTCAGCAAGAAAGAAGATTGAATCTTGATGCTGGAATTAATAATCAAGTAGAACTCCAAGGTTTTGCTAATGCAGTTGAACAAAATAGAACAAGAACTGAGTTTACAGGAAGAGGACGTGGTCGAAACTCATATGGAAACTCATATGGAAATTCATATGGAAGAGGACGTGGACCTGAAGTTACAAAATTCTGTACACATTGCAAGAAAACCAATCACACCATCGAAAGCTGCTATTTCAAACACGGGTTTCCTCCAGGTTATCGAACAAGGGAACATGTGGCCAACCTCACTGTTCAAGACTCACAAAAGGTAAATGATCATGATCATTCTGATTTCATCTCAGAAGCTGTCTTCACCAAAGAGCAGCACCAAGAATTAATGAGTCTATTGCAAAGATCCAAGGAAGCGAATCAAGTACATGCTTCTAATATTGTTCAAACCTCTGCATTCAATATAGATTCTGAGAAATCAGGTAAAAGATCTAATTTTTGGATATTAGACACTGGGGCCACAGACCATATCACATACACATCCTCCCAATTTTCTTCTTTTCACAAAATTAAGCCTATTACAATCACATTACCCGATGGATCAACAACAGTTGCTAATCATTCTGGCACTGTTAGTTTATCTCACACTATAGTTTTAACAAATGTTCTTCTTGTTTAGAATTTTCATGTCAATTTGATTTCCATAACCAAACTTCTTCGAGATCTTTGCTGTTTTGCTGTTTTTCAAAATCTGACTTGTTCTATTCACCAGGTCTCCTCGAAGAAGAAGATTGGTTCAGCTAAGCAGTTGAATGGTTTATACATCTTTGAACCAAATAGAGATTCAAGAGATTCTGTCAAATCAAGTAGATGCAATAATACTGTTGTGAATCAAGCAAATCTTTGGCATTCACGACTTGGACACCCTTCTCATTCTGTTGTTAAATCCATGTATTCCCATTTTCCTTTCATTTCTTGTAAAGATGAAAAACCTTGTGATATATGTCATCTTTCAAAACAGAAAAGATTACCATACACTCTTAGTTCTATTAAATCCACTAAATGCTTTGAGCTCATTCATGTTGACATATGGGGACCATACTCCATTCCATCTATACATAACCATAGATATTTTCTAACCATAGTGGATGACTTTAGTAGATTCACATGGATCATCTTAATGAAACAGAAATCAGAAACACGTGCAAACATACAGAATTTCATTGCTTTTGCCCAAAACCAATTTCAATCCACGATTAAAACTATCAGAAGTGACAATGGAGTTGAATTCTCCATGATCGAATTCTTTTCTAATAAAGGAATCATACACCAACAATCATGTGTAGAATGCCCTCAACAAAATGGAGTGGTTGAAAGGAAACATCAACACATCCTAAACATAGCTAGAGCCCTATATTTTCAAGCCAAATTATCATCAACACTTTGGTGTTATGCAATAACCCATGCTGTTCACATTTTGAACAGACTCCACACACCATTGCTCAAAAATAAATCACCATATGAGATACTGCATCACCAACCTCCAACCTTAACACATCTTAAGGTCTTTGGATGCCTTGCATTTGCTTCCACATTACATAATAATCGAACCAAATTCTCCCCACGAGCCATTAAAAGCATTTTCCTTGGATATAAAACAGGAACTAAAGGATATTTTCTTTTAAATATTTCAACTAACACCACATTTGTTTCAAGGAATGTAATTTTTTATGAGGACCATTTCCCTTGTAAATCTCTACTTTCTCAGCCTCATCTTCCAGAACATCATACCACATCAGATTCTACACCAGATTACAATGATGATCCTTTCCTCTCTTTACCTCAAAACATACCAAATATTCCAACAGAAACTGCTCTAACAAATATACCTTACCAAAGACAAAACTTTGATCAACCCATTCGAAGATCCATGAGAGAAAGAACTCAACCTAGGTATTTGACAGACTATCATTGCTCTCTATTGACAACTGCTACTGATACTCAATCTTCTTCTTCAGGTATGAAAACACCCTATCCTCTTTCTTCTGTCTTATCTTACACAAATTGTTCCTTACCATATAAAACTTTTTGCCTCACTGTTAGCTCACACACAGAACCCAAGTCTTACTCACAGGCTTCTAAATTCGAATGTTGGAGGATAGCTATGAATGCTGAGCTTTCTGCTCTAGAACAAAACCACACATGGAAACTTGTCACTCTTCCTCACGGCAAACAACCAATTGGTTGCAAATGGGTCTACAAAATCAAGTACAAGACAGATGGCACTATAGAGAGATATAAGGCTAGGTTGGTAGCCAAAGGATACACACAACTTGAAGGGATTGATTACCTTGAGACTTTCTCTCCAGTGGTCAAAATAACTACAGTTCGAGTCCTACTTGCTATTGCTACTGCACAGGGTTGGTTCATGGAGCAATTGGATGTAAACAATGCATTTCTTCATGGAGATTTACATGAAGAGGTGTATATGACCCTTCCTCCTGGGTTTCACAGCCCTCAACCGAATCAAGTTTGCCTTTTAACTAAATCTCTTTATGGCTTGAAACAGGCAAGCCGTCAATGGAATGCCAAATTAGTCACTTCACTTCTTCAACTTGGATTCATTCAATCTACTGCTGATCACTCACTAATGACTAGAAAAGATGGTAACCATTTTACTGCCTTGCTTATATATGTTGATGATATTGTGGTTACTGGAAACAGTCTTGAAGAAATCAACAGAGTTAAACAACATCTTGATTCCCAATTCAAAATCAAGGACTTGGGACCCTTACGGTTTTTCTTGGGATTAGAAGTTGCACGTTCTAAATCTGGACTTCTTATCAACCAAAGGAAATATGCTCTAGAGTTAATATCCGATGCTGGTCTCCTTGCAGCAAAACCATGTAAAACTCCTATGGATTCATGTCTTAAGTTACAAAAAGTTCAAGGAGTTCCTTATGATTAACCAGATACATACCGAAGACTCATCGGGCGTTTTCTTTATCTTACAACAACGAGACCAGATATCAATTTTGCTGTACAACAGCTTAGCCAATTTGTGGCCACTCCGATGCAGATTCATTATCAAGCAGCTCTCAGAATCCTTCGTTATTTGAAAGGTTCTCCCTCCAATGGCATTTTCTTCCCTTCACAGAATGAGCTCATTCCCACTGCTTTCGCTGATGCTGATTGGGCATCATGTATTGATACCAGACGCTCTGTTTCTGGACAGTGTGTTTTTCTGGGTTCGGCACTTGTTTCTTGGAGATCCAAAAAGCAAACTACCGTGAGTCGCTCTTCCTCAGAAGCGGAATATCGAGCACTTGCTAGTCTTTCCTGCGAACTTCAATGGATTTCCTTCATCCTCAGGGACCTCCATTTTCCATCACTCAAGCCCATCTCTGTTTTCTGTGACAGTCAATCTGCAATTCACCTTGCTCACAATCCCACGTTTCACGAAAGGAGCAAACACATTGACATTGATTGTCATGTGATTCGTGAACGTATTTCATCAGGACTTGTACATCTCCTGCCCATTCGATCATGTGATCAAACTGCTGACATCATGACCAAACCGCTGCCACCAACACAGTTCCTTCTTCTATTGTCCAAGTTGGGAATGAAGGACATACATCTCCCACCTTGAGGGGGGTATTATCTATTAGAACTAATAAGTCAGTTATTGTTAGTTAACTGTTAGTTAGCTATTAGATGTCAGTTAAGTTAGTTTTTATTTTCCCCGCCTTTTACTTTGCTTTACATCTTCATTCAATATCTGATATATATATCAGATTGTACAACTTTCAATTCATTAATTCAATAAGCATGATTCATTTCAAGATCTCCAATACATCCATTGTCAGTTACTGATCTGGCCTGAGAAGATTGTAGATAAAGAGTACACTACAGTCATTGCTTGACAAGAGCTAGACCATAGAAATGGCACCATTTGCCTAATGGAAAATAGTAATTTACCATGATAATTGATATGAAAAACTGTGACCTACAGTCCAAAGAGACTGCTCCAACTAATCAAAGACTTTTTCAAAAGAGAACAAAAGTGTAAAGATCACTAATTATCTTTACAAAAAAAAAAAAAAAAGCTTCTAATTGTCAATCATTGAAAGACAAATATCTTAACTTTGACACCACAAAGTTGAGGAAGTGTGTTATCCCACTAGCCGACAACTGAAATTGCATTCATATTCAATTTCCATATAAAACAAACCATTTGACGTGATGTTTTTTTCTCCCAACCCACCAGATATCATGTCTTCAAGCAAATGTGAAATACCAAAAAGCTGGAGGACTAGGGGAACAAAAAGCAATACCTTATTGATATCAAAACTTGAAATTTTCTTTCACGAAAATCAAAATTCTACTTACACCATCTATGTAATCATCACATATGCTAATCATATCATGTATAGATAAACTTTACACATATGTGTGAGCAAAGCAGCACACCCATAACACAAGCACAACCTCTACAATGACTTATAAATTTATTGTTACACCTCTTGCACCATTAACATAAGGTGATGCTGTAGCGTTGCCAGTGTGTAAGGAACCATGCCTGGTTGGATCATATTTTTCACCATCACCCCAAAGAGCATAAGCTTCCTCGCCGTGGACGGCGTCGTCGCCGATCTCTAGCTGCTCGTCCGGCATCCTCAAGGGTATGAACAATTGTATGAAAAGGAGAATGATGGTGGTAGAGACCAAGTTCCATCCAATAACAAACATGGCTGCCACCAATTGCTTCAAGAACTGAATACCACCCCCTCCACCATAGAATGCACCCCTTGAATTTGTCACTGGCAATAGTAGTCTACAAAGGGCTGGTTCTGCAAAGAGACCTGTTAGGAGGCCACCCAAAAGACCAGCCACAGCATGTGTATGAAATACACCAAGGGTGTCATCTACCTGAATAAAATAAAATTCACAAAAATTATAAGTTAAAAACACAAGTCTTGTGTACATATACATATATATTAGTCAACAAATTAGACTACATAGCTACCAAGATAATTATAAATAATGAATGGTTTAATTGATTTGTTGGAGTTCTTATTACCGTATATATGATCTGTTATGTTTTCTAATGTCTTAATTTTCATATAGAAAAGTTAAACTGTGTAATAAAATACAATATAATTTTAAATAATTAAAACTGGATAAATAGACAAATGGGGTGTGACGTAAACTAGCACTATATGGCATGATTGATGAAATGTTTTTCAAGGACCGCAATATAAGAGATTCGATATTACTAGTAATTAATGTATAGTTGAAAATTTTAAAGGTATGATCGTGATCTTTGTGGACTAATTAGTCAGACTTAGACGAAAAAGTCATCACGCAATTATGGTAAGCAAAAGGAATATATATAATTATCTTTTGAGAACCATATGTCTAGAGTCTATACAAATAAAATGATGTAATTATAAGTCTTGATTTAGCGGTGAGAGATTTAAATATTTTATTTGAGATTATAGCTTCAAACTCACAAATAAGATAAAAAATTGAAAAAAAAATACCAAAATCATCACTGTTGTTACTATTTAATTTTTACATAGTTTCTTTAAAATATTAATACGATTGAAAACAGATATTTTAAAACTCATAGGGCTTCACTCCAATAAAAAGAAGAATGAATTCATCTATGATATTATTATACCCCACCTATTTTTTAAGAAAAAAAGTAAAACACTTAAAGTGGGTAAGGAAGAAACAAAAGTGGTTGGAATGATGGAATCAACAGATAATCTGTGGTTTTGGTCAGTTTTTCTAATATTAAATGAGAATTCACAAACACGTGCACAGGAAAAGTGAAGCTACACCTAATTAAACTATACAGTTAAGGGTACAAAATTTTCATGTGAAGAGAAAAAGAAACACTTACCTTCTGGAGCAGACTTGACTTTTTATGAAGAATCATCATGGACACCCACGGAATGCTCCCAGATAATATTCCCATCACTATAGCCGCCCACGATTGCACTAGCCCTACAAGTTGCACCACAACCCCTTCATATTAATGGTCAACAAAGACTGCATTTATGGTCATTTCATTATAATGGAATTGATCATTATTGTAAGTTACACTAACTATCCAATAGTTAATTGGTCTAATTGCATCCCAATTAAATCTTAAGATTTGGCTAACCCAAATGGTGAAAAAACTTAAATTGAAAACCGGATTAGTGAGACTCATTAGGACTTCGAATCCAATTTTTTGGGGTTTTCAAATATTAATAACAATTTTTTGAGGTTGATAATATGAAAAACAAAATAAGATTTTTTTTAAAAAAATAAAACTTTTATTTTACCCAAATGTTTGATTGTGAAGAATAAAACATGACAATTATGTAAAAGAGATTATATTTCAATCATTGTATAGTCATAAAATGTGATTAATAAGAAATGCATATTACCTGCTCCTGGGGTGATGCATACAAGGCCAGTCATCATGCCCTGAACAGCTCCAATCACAGATGGTTTCCCAAAGAAGATGACATCGAGAGAGGTCCATACAAGGAGACTCGTGGCTGCACAAATGTTAGTGTTTAACATGGCAATAGAAGATGCAATGTTTGCTGCATATGGTGCTCCACCATTGAACCCTGACCACCCCATCCAAAGCAAACCAGCACCTGCAAGCATCAACAGCACATTGTTTGGTGGGAACCTCTCCCTATCACTCTTTAACCTTGGTCCAACCTGCATATAATTGTTGCAGCCACAATAAAAAACCAAGTTGCAAAAAATATACCATGAATGAATAAACATTAGTATCCAAGATTAATTGTCCAATACTAATTGGTTGAATGGTTGTACTAGATGAACTTAAGTATTTGTTGTGAAAACCAACAATCAATGACAATTTATCAGTAAAATCACTCCTTATTAAATCCCGATTAGTGAAATCCTGATACGTAACGTACTCATATTTGTAAAGAGATTATTTCTCGAATTCAAATTTGTTATCTTTTCAATCACAAAGAAGCAGTCTTACCAATTAAATTTATACTTGTACCTAATAAAAATTATAGGTTCCATGGAGGGTATCCTTTAAGCTATTGAAGCAAAATTTGATAAAGGGTTGTGAAGAAAAATGGAGTTTAAGTTTATGTACCCAATAAGCAGCAGTGAGGCCAGCAATTCCAGAGGAGAGGTGGATGACATAGCCACCAGAGTAATCAATGACACCCCAATGATAGAGAAAGCCACCACCCCAGAGGCTGAAGGCACCAACAGTGTAAGAAAAAATTAGCCAAAGTGGCACAAAAGCCATCCAAGCTTTGATGTTCATTCTTCCAAGGACAGAGCCAGCCAATAAGATAAGTGTAATAGCAGCAAAAGTGAATTGGAAATAAACAAGGGAAGCCATAGGGAAAAAGGGTTCTTCAGTTGGTGTTTCAACAGTGCCATTGTTGTAATATTGGGTACTTTCAGGAACCATGGCTCGTTTTGTGAGAAACTTTTGGCCTAGTGCAGGAGCACCCTTACCCCAAAAAGGAAGGAGTTTCTCTCCAAAGGCCATTCGGTAACACAAAAGCACCCAACAAATTAAAACAGCTGCAAAGGCATAGAGAGCCATGAAAGCTGAATTCACTGCCCATTTCTTCTTAACTATGCTTGCATAAAGGATCACAAGCCCTGGCATGCTCTGAAGACCAACCAGAGTTGCTGCTGTCATCTGCCATGCGTTATCTCCTTTGTTTAACCAATAAGGTGATGCAGGTAAGTGCTCTTGGTAAGCCGTAGGAGTGGCCATGGCTACCCCAACTTGGAAAAATTGGTTCAATTTCTTTGCTCCTATATGATGAATTTATGAAAAGTTTGTCTATAATCACTTTGTGCTTTTGTTTACAAGGTGTTGAAAACTCGGATACTCGGTTTGAATCTTTGGAAGCTGCGTGTAAGCTTTAGTTGTTGAGTTTTCATTAGTAGCAGCTATTAACTGATAAGTAAAGGCAAAGTTTCTTTGAAAACATTGACTTTTAGTTGAAAATGATGGTACATGTGGTTTTAGAATATTAACACATAGGCTGCTCGTGCAACTTGGTGTGAAAGTGTAAGTAAATTAATGTGATTGGTGGGTCTAAATACAGGGTGGAAACATTGAAAATTAGAAACTGAAACATATTATCTTTGCATAAGCAATTATCCAGATATTGTGTGATGTGAAATTTTCTTGAACGAGCAGGATGTTTATTAGGTATAATTAATTGAGTATTATGTTAAAATAATAATAAAAAAGGGATAAGATTATTTTGCATCGGTATACCAATAAAAGTCTTAACGAACAACTGAATTTATAAGAAGTTTAATCGATCTTAGATTATTCAGAGTATGAGTACGGATGAAAAGTAATAATAAAAGGAGAACCAATCCCAATACAGGTCCGACAGCCGACAGTACTTAAATACGATAAATCATAGTAGTTGATCACCCAGATATTTTTAAGTTGTACTAGCTGTTTTTGAAATGTATATTTTTTTTTAAACGAACAACTTTTAATTAATTTTTAAGTTAAATTTTTTTATAATCATCAAATAGCTTGTAGCTTTATTTTTTAAACTCTTTTTTTTTAATATTTAAATTCATTCCACGCTTCGCGATTAGTCTAATCCGAGGCGGATTCAGAATTAAAGTTTTAAACATCTCCTAAAGGTAATATTGTGTAAGATCGAATACATACTCCCACTCAGTTGCTATGTGCCAATTGAACTATCACAACTTGATTTAATTTTTTTTTTTTTAATTTGAATTTAAAAGTAACTTTTAATTTAAAAAAAGAGAAATGACAAACAACCTATCATTCAAAATAAGACATTTATTTGGATTTGTATTTCTTTTTCCTCTACCCTGACATATTGTCATAGTATTTTATTTTTATTAAAAAGATATATGAAACAGTCGGTACAACAATATCATTAAAGATATTTTCCAAATGAAGTACTAAGTTGTTTTTTTTTCACACTTGTGTAAAATGATTATGCCGAAAGATAATAAAACTTTTGGGCACAACAATCATTGTATCATATTTTTTTAAAAATTATTTTCTAATATGTCATGCGGTGAAAATTATTTCTAAACGCGCGTGACACAATTTTTAAGGAAATATTGTTTTTCATGTCTAATACAATATACAAAAAAAATGGGTGATTTTTTTTTCTCTTTTTTTTTAGTGGATCTCACCCACTGTTTTATATGTTGCATAAGATAAATTATCTCATACAAAAAATAACATTTCCAATTTTTAATCTCGATAACCCCATCAGCAAAACTCATAAGGTTTTGCCGGTATGAATTGCATTTGATTGATATTATGATTTTATTAATAAGTTAAACATTTACATTAAGGGTTTGATCTTTGATTTTTCTAAGAGATAAAATTAGGGAAAAAAGTTTATAATGTTACTTTAGATAACTTAATCTAATATTCATCAAAATGACGTTGTTTTGAGGTTGAAAAATTAAAAAATTAGAATGATAAAGACTATTATAACCCTGAAATAAATTAAAATTACAAAAACACCATGATTTCCGTCTCAAAATGAGGTCGTTTCGATGAACATTAGATAAAGTTATCTAGAGTAACTTTAGAAAAAACAAGCCCATAAAATTATCTCCTATATATACATAAAAATATATGGGGGCCATGTTAAGAGAAAAAAGAAAAGAAAAGAATATGGGCCCACGTACTTATATATATATATATATATATATATATATATATATATATATATATATAAGTTAAATTATCTCATACAACGTAAGAGATATAAATTCGGGGAATATTTTTCTCCTTTAACAGTAGAGAAGAGTTGTCTCCTACTGAGACAAAAAAGTGGGACCAGCAATTTAAAAAAAAGTAAAAACAAAAACAAAAGCTTGGCACGAAAGTCGATGTATGTGTAGGAATAAAATCTTGTCTCATGTGAAAGGAGAAAAGCATTTCCCTATAAATTCTTACATATTGAGTAGAATAATATTTAACATCATAATCAATTATCATTTATTTCTCTCAATTTTTTAGAATCCCTGCAATTGTAAAGACGTAAAATTATTATTTTTAACAATGAATTTAATATTTTTAAATTTGCATGAATTTTAAAATATTATAATAAACAAGTGAAAATTATTTATGGTATTAAATATTATTTTAATCAATTAATTTTCTATCAATTTATAATTTAATGTAAAAATAATAATATCAATTATTAACTTATTAAAATAGTTATTTACATGTGAGCATAATTATTTTAGCAAGTTAGGAAAGAAAGAAAAAATAACTAACCAAATTGTCCTTGTTAAAAACGAAATTTGATATTTTTGAATCAAGAGAGATTTTAAAATATCATCAAATACAAAAAATGCTAATTTGATTAATTTATTTACATATGAGCATTATTTTTCTAAATTAGAAAAGAGAAAGAAATTAATAATCATATTGTTATTATTAACAATAAATTTGATGTTTTGAAATGTAAATATATTTCAAAATATCACAAAAAAAAAATTATATTACGAATAATTATTTGACTTAATGCATTTAATTTCAATTTATAATTTAATGCAAAAATTTTAAATTCATTAATTTATTTACATTCTTTTATTTGAAAAATTAGGAAAGAAGCTGAAAAAACAAATTGTTAAATTATCAGTATTGATAATAAATTTGATCTTTTTAAATTTGGATGAATTTCAAAAAAATTATAGTCAATTTCTAATTTAATGATAAAATAATAATATGTATTTAATGCTAATTTGGTTTATTTAGTGTTACCATTGTATTAAATAAAATGTTGAAATTATTTTAATATTAATTTAATTTTTTTTATCGTTGTAATTCTGATGAACATTTATTCCTAGGGGTTTTCCGTACAAATTATGATAAAAGTTATGGTAGGTGGCGACATAATTGTAACACCCTGGAGAGATGGCGAGTGAATAGAGATAGTTAGGTCTCATAAATGCAGTTTCGAGGTTGTCAATTTGGTACGGTAGTTTGCAAACTAGTCGTCAATGGATCAAAGCGGAATGATGATCAACATGTTTTTCCATCTCAAAGAACACCTGAGAGGTCACCAATGAATTAATGATAATAATTTTATAATTATCATCATTTATCTATTTTTATATGATTATAATTTTTCATACAAATATGTTAAGTTTTTTTTTAATATGAAAGGAACAACTCCTAAGTAGGGATTAGCATAAGGCTAAAATATAAGTTACCCCGTTGAACTTTGATCATATTTCAAATTAGGGAAAAATATTTTTGCAGTTAATGCAGATAAGTTATCTGCATTTATTCTTAAAACGACGTCGTTTTAATATTGAAATCTTAAAAAATTATAAATATAAAGACTATTATAACCTTGAAATAAATTAAAATTACATAAACACTATGATTTCAGCCCTAAAACGATGTCGTATTGGGCTTACTGTAGATAACTTATCTGCAGTAACTGCAGAAAAAGCGAACCCTTCAAATTATTTCCTTGTACTTTTAATTGTTTTAATTAACCATGTACTTTATAATTGTTTCAAATCAACAATTTTATTAAAAATTTTACAAACTCGGTTAAATCTCCTCACATGCCTTAAGCCCCAAATTTCAAAAAAAAAAATTCTCTCTTTTCTTTTACGTTCTCTCATCTCTTATTACAATAATTTAGGATGATTTTGATTTGGATCGGAGAAGATTAATGTGTCTCTTTTCTTCTATGTTCTCCCAAGGTCTCTCTTGAAAAATATTAACATCTTCTACGAAGGAAAAACAATCATCGCTGGAAACTTTGTGAATAAATAATCAATAGCTAAAAAAAAGAGAGAAGAAAAGTTCATCCCAAATCGTAGAAGAAAAGATCATTGCTGGAAACTTTGTGAATAAATAATAACAAGATCATCTCATCTTAAACTTTGTGAAGATTCTTCTACGTTAATCTTCTCTGATCCAGATCGAAATCATCCCAAAAGAAAAGATCCAAAGAAAATTGTAATAAGAGATGAGATAACGTAAAAGAAAAGAGAGAAGAAATTTTTTAGATTTGGGACTTAGGACATGTGAGGAAGTTTAACATAGTTTATAAATTTTTTAACATCATTGTTGATTTAAAACAACTATAAAATATAGGAAATTAATTGAAACAATTAAAAATATAAGAGGATAATTTAAAGGGTAATACTTCTCTTATGTTGTATAAAAAAAGGTATTATCTCATGTTCAAACAATAGTTAGGAGAGAGAAAAAAGTTGAAGGTGAAAGAAAAAAAATCTTGTAAGACCCATTTGAAAAATGTAAATGTAAGAAATAATAATTTTTTTATGTAATATAAGAAAAGTAATTCCCTGATTTAAAATATGATCAAAATTTAAGGAGATAACTTATGTTTTATCCTTAGCATAATCATTAGTTTTGAATTATAGGTAATAGTGTCAAGAATTTACTAGGTACAAACTTTGCTGCTTTTTTGGTATCTCTCGCCTTGAACCAAATAGGTTAGATAATTAGTCAACTCAATGAATTTTTTTTTTTGTTGAAAAAAATCAATAAAATATAAATTGACCGAAACTGTGTCTTGGTACGAATAAGAATAAAGTTAGGAAAAAATGTATATCATTTTAAAAGATGTAAAGTTGTGTTATTTTAAGTGAGAGAAAGAGATAGATAAAGGAGGAGAGAGTGGACAAAACAATATAAAGGTACGGGTTCCACCTCTTTGTGAGAGTGAAAGAATATAAGTTGTACCGTTTAAAAGGACAAACAATTTTCTCATAAAGTTAATAGCATTTTAGATCCATTTATTCTTGTGTTTCACATTGTCCCTTTTTAATCGTATTTTTTTTATTTCTTTCTTTATTTTCTCACAATCTTTCTCCTTTTA